CTAAAAACTGTCTCCCATATCAGCACAAAAGCTGTGTCTAGGAATAAATGTATCATTTCCTGTATTTTTCTCTGGCCAGTGGCCAACAGAGAATGTACATCAAAATGAGAAGAAATGGGAGGTAGCGGGATGTGGTCCCACGTTGATCTGAAAGCCGATAGCAAACGGAAAGCTGTCTCCTTAATTTTTTTTTTCAGGAATATATTAAAACGTCCAAGAAAATGACAGGCAGCCAGTCTACAGTATAGAGTCCTGCCTCTCTTGACTCTTTCACAGCATTGTGTGAGCACCCGTGTAGACTCCGAGCTTACCCCGACACACCCTGAAATGCACCAACTGGAAAGGAAGAAGGAAAATTAGTTTACCCCCATCTGTTTCTGGCCCAGGAAATGTCTCTGGCACACATGCTTGCTGTTTCATACAGAGGTTGACACAGAAAGTAGCATGGACACCATGAATAAGCGCATCTGGATGCCAGCAGATCCCAGAAGCATTTTGTCTTCATGAAACATCTATATGGATGTCCTCCAACTCATCGGTCACTTGCTCCCTAGTCATGTAAAGTCATGTTTGGAATTTTGTTGGCAGCTTCCTGTCCACTGCCACCACATTGACTATTGGTACAGTCAGAGAAAGAAAAGAAAGATCCTGTGGATGATCATTCTAGGACCCACATATTGCCAACACTTCATACAAAAAGGGTATATCCCAAGAGCTACCTCGAAGACAGCGCTACAATCTAAATATCACATGTGACAAATACTTCTTACTTAAAAATTTCAGTTTTCAAAACTCATGAAGTTAGGTAACAGAAATTTGAGGGAGATGATAATTTCTCTCAGATGCATAACTGCACAAACATGCATATGTATGTCCACACACATGCCAACATATAGGCATCATTGGTTTCCTGGGATCACAGAAATTTAGTGCCACAAACTGATTGGCTTAAACAATAGAAATGTCTTCTTTTTTTCCCCCATAGATACAGAAGTCAAAATCCTGAAATAAGAGTGTCTAAAGAATCTCAAAGTCCTGTAAAGTTTCCATTTTATTGCTAGGATGAAACATTATGACCAAGGCAACTTACAGAAGAGAGAGTTCGTTTGGACTTAGGGTTCCATAAGGATCTGAGTCCATCGCTACGACAGAAGTGCGGCAGCAGGCAGGCATTGATGGTGACGGGAACAGCTGAGAACTCACATCTTGAACCACAAGCAGGAAGCAGAGAGTGAACTAGAAATGATACATGACTTTAGAACCCCAACACCCCCCCCACACACACATACACACACATATATACACACACACATACACACACACACACTTCCTCAAGCAAGGCCATGCCTCATAAACCTACCTAAACAGCACCACCAACAAGGGAGCAAGTATTCAAACATCTGAGCCTACGGAAGACATACTTACAACATACAATGGCACATAATATACATTATCATTCCAAAAGGGAAAAATGGGGACATACTGAGTGTCTTAGGTCTTCTACTGCTGTAATAAAACACTGCGACTAAAATCATCTCAGGAAAGAAAAGGTCCATTCCATCTTACAGCATCTAGGGAAGTAAGGAGAGGACTCAAAGCAGGAAGCTGGGGTCAGGAGCTGATGCAAAGGTCAGGTCACGGAGGGGTGCTACTTACTGACTTGCTCCCCATGGCTTGCTCAGCCTGCTTCTTTATAGAACCCAGGACCACCAGCTCAGTGGTTGTACCACCCACAATGGCCTGAGCCCTCCACATGAAGTAGTAATTAAGGAAATGCCCTACAGGTTTGCCTGCAGACCAATCTGGAGGCATTTTCTCAATTGAGATTCTCTCCTCTCAAATGGCTCCAGCATGCTTCAAGTTGCCATAAAGCTATCAGGCACAGTGAGGAAAATACTGAACCAAAGTAAAGCCCCAATTCATCAGCACAAACATAATGCCAGCTGGTATCCGTGGTGGTATTGTGTTCCCCAAAATATTGTGCACCCTAATAAACTTATCTGGGGTCAGAGAACAGAACAGCCACTAGATATAGAGGCCAGAAAATGGTGGCACACGCGCCTTTAATCCTAGCATTCCAGGGGCAGAGATATGCCTGGATCTCTGTGAGTTCAAGGCCACACTGGAAACAGCCATGCGTGGTAAAAGGAGCCTTTAATCCCGGAAAGTGATGGCAGAAAGGTATTTAAGGCATGAGGACCAGGAACTAGAGCCTGGTTAAGCTTTTAGGCTTTTGAGCAGCACAGTTCAGCTGAGAGGCATCCAGTCTGAGAAAACAGGATCAGCTGAGGAATTGGTAAGGTGAGGTAGCTGTGGCTTGTTCTGCTTCTCGGATCTTCCAGCATTCACCCCAATACTTGGCTTCAGGTTTGATTTTTAATAGGAACTTTTAAGATTCGTGCCCCTCCAGCTTTGCTGCCTACAGCTTACATCTCTCTCAGGATGGTTCTACTCCCTGTGTATAGCTCTCCTTGGCAGATATCCCATAGCTCTGGTATGTTCAAGATTTCAGGGTCTCCAACAGCTGTAGAGCCTCCACCGGACTGGACTAGGCCCTCTGCATAAGTGAGACAGTTGTGTAGCTTGATCACAACTGGCAGTAAGATCAGGATCCATCCCTGGTGCATGCATGAGCAGGCCTTTTGGAGCCCATTACCTATGGTGGGACACCTTGCACAGCCTTGAGGCAAGGGGAGGAGCTTGGACTTTCCTCTACTGAATGTACCAAGCTCTGCTGACTCCTCATGGGAGACCTTACCTTGTTGTAGGGGGAAACAGGGAGTGGGTTGTGAGGGGAAGCTGGAGGGGCAGGAGGAGAGAAGAGGGGGATATGTGATTTGTATGTAAAATGAATTTTTAAAATTCTTAATAAAATTTTTTTTTAAAAAAAGAAATCAAATTTAAAAAAAAAAAAAAAGATTTCAGGGTCTCCTGTGCAACCCAGATATCACTGTCACAGTTTTATACAGTGACCTCTTAGGACCTCTGTGCTAGTCACTTTTCTGTTGCTGTGATAAAACTGCCACAACTAAGGTGACTGTGGTACATTATGGTAGCTACATCGCTCAAGAACATGGCACTGCCTCCTCCACTAAGCTTTAACTGTTAGGGTCCCCCCAGGTTAATTTGTCCCTTCCTCGTCTGGGATGGAACACTGACAACCTAATCTTGTGCCGCTCTTGTGCAGATGAGCACAGAGAGTTCCTGAGTGCGGTGATCGCGTCATGTGCCACAGACATCTTTTAGCTCCGCATCTCTCCATTCTCTCGCTCTGACGTCCCTTCCACCTCTTGCCTGCAGCGGAGTTGAACACATCTTTTGGAGAGACATAATTCAGCCCACAGCAATGGGAAGTGCGGCTCTCCCACAGGAGTTTCAGTTCTGATCGCAGAAGACTCCCCCACCTCCCCGCAGATGCACAGCTCCAATTACACAGTCAGAACAGTAGTGTTTGATTTTTTTACATATTCAACCTTAGAGCTGAATGTGTTGGGATAACTTGAAAAGTAAGTGTGCTGCATTTTCAGTGACCCCCCATTCCTTATTTCAAATCACCTTGTCTTTTTCAAGTGGCGGGTTACACTTTAGGCAATTATCTTCTAGGTGTTTTGTCATTAATCCTAACAAACTAAGTTGGGTGTCTCTTCACTTACTTTACAATAAAGACAAACTTTCTTATAAAATCTTTGTTATCTTCAGAACAATTTCTTATGACATATGGACAGATGTGACAGGTAAGGGGGGAAAATAACAAGGCCCCCAAGGATATATTCATCTCTAAATCCTGGAACCTGTTATCTTCTTGTAACAAAAGATGGAATTATTATGAGACATTGAGAGGGGAAGTGCATGCTGGGTTATCTAGGTCCTGCTTAAACGCAACCATGACCTTATAAAGGGAAAAGAGGCTAGAAAGAGGCAGGCATACAGAAGAGATACAGTATGGGATGGAATGCTGAGAGGCACCCAGGCACTAGCCAAGGAATGTCCAGAGTCACCAGAGGGAGAGGTTAACTTTTGGAAGAACCTACATCTTCTCCATTTCATCCTTCTGGCCGCTAGAACTGTAGAAGATTGAGGTTAGCTTTTCAAACCACACAGTGCGGTGCAATTTGTTAGAATACAGAATTCTATCATACTAGAAGCAAACAGCACAGGAAAAAAAAAAAGAAGTCCCTTTCCTCAAAATGGATGTCGCATTTTTCACTGGTATCTGTCGTATACCATGCACCTACTGGGTAGGTTCCAGGGAAACTGTTGTGTGTTGGAAACCTAAGAATTTGAGTGGTTTTTCCCATTTTACAGGTGAGAAAGAAGCAGCGAGGTCAAACACAATTGACAAATAGGGCATGAGCATCAAATTGTCCACTCTTCCTGCAACGTTCAGCCACATCTCATACATCTGCCTCTAGACTCCTCTCCGCATCCCCCATCAACCTCTGTCTGGTTGCAGCACACACAACCTTGTTGACCTCACCCTTGAACAGCTGGAAGCTTTCTTCTCCGTAGGCATAGAGACTGACCAATTGCATTCCAGGACTGCCATGGGAAATGCAAAACATAAAAGGAACTCATAAGTCCATGTGCCACAAATGTCTTGGTTTGTAATCTTTTTGTAGTCTCCCAAATTCCTTGATCTTGACCCTAAGCTATCCATACAGGTTGATCACTCTTCCACACCAAGGCCTGACTTATCTCAGATTAGACACATTGCCAGCAATTCCCTGGTTACCAGAGCAACAACCGTGCCCGCGTAAAAACAGAATTTTGAGATGGCTGGGCCCCCGTCTTATCCCCACTGCTGAGCTCTCTCTTTCTCTTAGGTCCTATGCCTCCCTCCCCCACCACCCCGCACCATTTCTGCTGCTCTGTGCAGCCCCCATCCACTGTAATTTAAGCCTCCGTGTAATTCCTGCCAGCAGAGAATCAGAGTTTCATTCTCCTTGGGATTTATATAGGTACGTACCCACGCACACACCACAGCGTGAGCGCCTACTTACTTCTTGAAGCACAAAAAGACAGGTGTGCAGAAATGGGAGATTCCTGATTTCTTCTTAGTTAAAGGTGGCCTGGGCCCTAATCCCCGATTCTGCTGATGCTGGTGGGAAAGAACCCTTCTTTCCAGGCCAGGCATGCCTTTACTCTCCCTGTCACCCCACCCACACCTCCCCAGTTTTTCTTTGGAGAGCTCTAAATTCTCAGGGTTTGTGTATCATGCTCGCTGTGGATCAGGGGCTTCTGTTCTCAGCATACACACACCCACACCGCAAATTTGTCCTTCACGGTTTTTGCTCCCTGTCTTAGGCTTGAGTCTAGTCCTTCTGCACCCAGGATTCTCACGTCCAGGGAATTTGGTTTCTATTACTTCCACCCTGCCCCTAACACCCTGATGATCCCTGACAAACAACAGATAGACCACCGACACAGTTACATTTCATATCCTCCCAGGGACCAGCCTCAGGCAGTGTTCGATATTTTGCAGATGAATCCAAGGAGGAAGGGATTTGAGAACGAGGAGACTGAAGGGAAATCAACCCTTCTGCATGAAACACCCTGTCACGATCCCTGTCTATTCACCTATCTCCAGACAGATATGAGCCTGGGAGGCAACTTTTAGCAGGCCTAGTAGTAAGATGCCAACCCATCCTCCATTAACCCAACAGTGACTCCTACTCTCCAATCCAGGCTTCAGTGGCAGGAAGGTAAGAAGCGTGGCCTCTGTCAGCATCCAAATTCAGGCTTTTTAAACATTCTCCAGCAGCTCCTCCCTGAACTTAGGAAGCGCTCCATAGTGTACCAACTACTGTGCCAAGGGCCTTAAGATTCAATCATCATACACACACACACACACACACACACACACATATGCACACACGCACACACGCATGTGCGTATATAAGGGTGTGCCACATGTGTGGACATCAGAGGTTGTCTTTGAGTATACATTATTGCTCTACCCTATTGTTTGAGACAAGGTCCCTCTCAACCTAAGGTTCACTGCTTCAGCTAGATTGACAGGCCAGGGATCCCCAGGGACCCTCTATCTCCTCACCCACAGAATTAGGGTTTCCAGAGCGGGCTGCCATGCTCAGATTCTGTATGTGAGCACCAGGAATCTAAATTCAGTTCCTCATCCTGTGCAGCAATAACTTTACCATTGATCCACCTCCTCAGCCCTGAAATATATTGTTTGTACGCCAACTAAAGTAAGAACACTAATAACTAATCATAATAGCCTCTGCCATATACTCTGGTTGAGGATATACAACCAACCCTCTCTTGGCTAAAATGCTCTCTTGGCTTACTAAGTCAAGCTCTGAATGCTAATAAAATATTTTCATTTCTCCAAAATGCTGACCTTTAAAGTACCGTGTATGCTTTGGGCTTCAAGTAATTTGAAGGGGGAAATGGGTAAAATGGGGGAGAGTTTAACTGGGAAGGGGGAGGAGGGTTGATACAGAAAGATGGGGAGGAGAGTGAAATGACACTGAGTGTCTAGAAAAACCACAGGAATCATAGTGTTTTGGTTTTTGTTTTTTTGTTTTTTCAAGACAGGGTTTCTCTGTGTTGCTTTGAGCCTTTCCTGGAACTCACTCTGTAGCCCAGTCTGGCCTCGAACTCACAGAGATCCACCTGCCTCTGCCTCTCAAGTGCTGGGATTAAAGGCATGTGCCACCACCGCCCGGCCATATTATTTTTCATTGACCTAAAATTACATACACTACGCATAAGTCTATGTGTATGTATATGCATATAGAACTTAAAGGGAGCTATCACACTTGGACAGACAATGCATCCCCCGAAAGCTGTGGACAATCTAACAACACATCAATGGCAAGCATAAGAAACTCTCTTTCCAGGTGTTAGCCAAGGGAATCTAAGAGAACTTCAAAACAACATAGACTGTTGCTCTCGGTTACTTCCCAGAGGTTGAAAATAAGTCTCTGTTGCTGAAGACACCATGCACTTTGGATATAAGACTCAGTGGACCCAAGATGGATCTTACCGGAAAGCCTCCTCCCTGAGGACTAGCTTTCCATATGCAAGTTTACAAGGGAAGGAAGCAGCCAATATTCCTATATCTATAACATCTATGAACTACAACAATGATCTAACCCTACAGGTATAATAGTGACACTCATATCTTAGTAGGAACTGACAGCTCTCTAATTAGACTTAAGACCTACTCAACAGAGAGAAATCGTGTCTGGTACAAGAAACCCAGTCAACTACCATGGGCTAATGAGATCATGGATCTTAGAGGAGAACACACTACCACCATTTTAGTAAACTAGCATAATTTCTGACTGCGTTCTAAATAGTTGTCCTTATATCTGCAGATGAGTGTACTTTTCCCCTTTCATCGAAGAAACTTGTCCCTGTAACAGATAAAGGCCATCACAGGAAACCACAATCAGTCAGAAGGCAGAAAACAAGTGATGGATCATGAGATACCCAGCCCAAACTGGGACATCTATAACACAACTCCTCCAGCACATAAGGCTCAGAGAATAATGTGGAAAACTGGGCAGAAAGTCTGCAGTAGTCAGAGGACCAGGAGTCTGCTGTGAGATCGTATCTTCTAGAAATGACAGAGGAGCTTCACACATGATACCTCAGTAACACAGCTGTCTAAACAAGACCTGAAGAAGGACACCTCAAATAGACATGCTAACATGAAAGGAGGAAACGTCACCCCAACCCAGACAAAGAACCACAAGCAACTAGGGAATGCTGGGAACAGGAGAAACAGTCTTGCCCGGCGATGAGCCCCCAAATTGCTTATCTGATACGAAGGGGTCAGCCCTGAAATCATATACATAAAGCTAACACTAAATGGCGTGAGCAGGTTGTGTTTTCATATTTAGGGGTGTGTGTGTGTGTGTGTGTGTGTGTGTGTGTGTGTGTGTGTGTGTGTGTGTAAAACAAGAACAATTCAAGAGAAGGAGGCCAAAGTGGAGGGGGTGGCTACAAAAGAGGGATGTGAGGGGGGAAGGAGAAAGAGAAAGTGGTAAAATTATGTTTTAATTTTTTTTTATTTAAAAATATTTTACAGAGAAATCCTGAAGCCAGGTAAGGGCTCTTGTACCAGGTGGGCCTGTTCACTTGGCTTTAGAAGCAGTTAGTGTCGCTGTTTCTGTATGAGAAGGGCCCTGGCAGTGAGCATCCCATCGGTGAGGGATTTGGTGTCACTGTTTTGCAACATTGTGCAAAACTCTCCAGGCCTGAGCACTATCATCTAGGCCTAAGACGTGGTTTATAACTTTATATAGTAGTACTACTGCTTTCGTGGCATTATTTAGCTAATTTACTGAAATGAAGTTCAAATTTCCTTACTTTGTTTAGTTTTGAAACCCAAACACTACATTTCTTTGCTCATTTTTATTTCAAAGTCAAACAAATTAAAGGAGTTTACATATTAAAGTCTAATATAGGGTGGGGTGTCAAGACTAATAATGCTATTTTACAAAACTCACGTATTTGAGATTACTCGATTATGTTTATCTTTTGTTGTATTTCATTGTAGAAATATTATAATAGAAACTTTTTAGGAAAAAAATTATAAGTCATTCTGAGCTCCACCATCCTGTGTGACTAAGGGAATGTTCTATAAAATATTAAACCAACTCCATTTAATGGATGTTAATTGTGATTTTCCTAATTGTGCACCATTATGGATGATGACAGAATAAATAACTTTCTGTGTACATGTATTTTCTTTATTAGAGTGCTTGCTTGTGCCAAGAGTTCAATTACTGAGTCACAGGGTAGAGTTAGCACAAATCAATGTGTCTCTGCCGAGCACAAAGGTTATGCATGGACCATACCTCACTAATCTCAGTGCCCTGAACTGCTACCAGTAGGCTTTTTCCAAAGCTAATGTAACTGCAATAAAAAATAAAGTATTTTATACACACAGGCGTTGCTTTCCTTTTACGAGAACATGACCTTCTACCTTTACATTCGACTTAAACATTGCATCATAAAAGTATCCAAAGTTGAAGAGTTTTAAACCCAGGAACCTGCAATGTTATCTTCGGTCTTTTCTCCTCTATATTTTCCAAGTTCAGGTGAACTTATTGACATAGAACAGGAGTCAAAGTGCAGTGTGAGGCCATGTGTCCTTGCATGGAGATAAGAGCCCAGATGCAAGTGGGTAGACTTTAAAACAAGGCTGTAACGTAAGATGCTTCTGTATCTTTTATTATATTCACATCCTCATAGCCTCATAGTAAATACTACACTTGTGTTGCCCAGAAAAACATTTGATAAAGTGCGCACATCTGCGTTTGTGTTTACAAACTTGTTAGAAATAGGAAGCCTAGCCTTTTATATGACGGTAGGCATCTCTAAGGCTGCTTAGAAAGTATGAAAGTATACTTCTTCACATATGTCCTGGCTATGCTTTGTCATCTTGGCACAACTTAGAGTCATCTGAAAGGAGGGAACCTCAGTTGAGAAAATGCCTCCCTAAGATCCGGCTATAACACATTTTCTCAATTAGTGATTGATGGGGGAGGGCCCAGCCCATTATGGGTGGGGCCATTCCTGGGCAGGTGGTCCTGGGTTCTATAAGAAAGCTGGCTGAGCAAGCCAGTAAGCAGCTCCCCTCCGTGGCCTCTACATCAGCTCCTGCCTCCAGGATCCTGCCCTGTTTGAATTTCTTTCCTGACCTCCTTCAATGATGAAGAGTGCTATGAAAGTGATGTTTGCTTTGGTCATAGTGTTTCACCACAGCAATAGCAATCCTAACTAAAACAACATGTACATATGCTCTGTGTGTGTGTGTGTGTGTGTGTGTGTGTGTGTGTGTGTGTGTGTGTACATATACATATATTACAGTTCCCATTAACAGGAAGCAAAGAAGAATGCCACAAAGTCATTGACATTTCAGGAACATATTTGTTGTTTTTCAATGGTCTCTTGAAGAACAAAGTAGGTTAAAAATAAATGTTGCTACAATTACCACAGACACCCTGTCTTTCAGTAGCAGAGAAACACCACTTAAGCTAAACAATGCCTACCTAATTCTAGGAAGCAGAACTTTTAAAAATAGTTACATACGAGTTCTTCAACAAAGGATGAGACCTCGTCTCTCTGTATTTCCATCTGCACATCTACAACGTACA